ATTGTATTGACTATATGTTATAATTATTATCAAGTTTGAGAAAATGTATGTTCTAGAATGACAGTTGTAGGGGAGCTGGGGGGAAAGGGCGAAGGGATTAAGCGGTATCAATTGGTAGTTACAGAATAGTCAAAAAGATGTGGATTACAGCATAGGAAATACAGTTAATAGAGTCATGATGACTGTGTGTGTGGGGGGGGGCGGTGGCTGCTTTGAAGTATCAGGGGAACCACTCTGTAAAGTACATGATTTTCTAGCCATTTTGCTGTACATATGAAACTAACACAGAATACTATTGAATGTAAACTGTCATTGAACAAAAAGGTATGTTCTGCTGTCATTATAAAGTAAAGCAGACCAGGCCTCAGGTATATATTAAGCACTCAACATGCAAGGCCCATTACACAGCTGGCAGAGATCTGACAAGTGGCATATGTATATTTCCGAATGTCACCAGTGTGTACAATCATTTGTACTGTATATCTGCACATATTGCTGTGGAGTCACCTTCTAAGGTCCCTGTCCAGGTTAAATTATAGTTTCAAATATATTTCTCTTTTACTAATACAGCAAAGGACTTCAGAGTTTTGAGAAGGCAGAGGTTGGAGCACACTTTCCAAACTGACCCCTTCTCTTTCCAGTTCAATCTCTGGATTAATTGGTTAGGTGTGAAAGGTAGCTGCCAGGGCACAAGAGGCTTAACAGATTTCTGGATTTTTTCCTCTGTCAATACTTCCTAATTTTTTTCAACTGTGTGACTATGACTACTCTTACACTGTTACTCTTTAGACATTTTAGCATGGCTTTCATGGAATGAAGAACAGAAGCACTTTCTAGGTAGTTCAGCAAAACGCACACACACACGCACACACACATACACACACAAACACTCAGGATATATAACTGTATCCATTTTCTACTTAACATTTTCTAATAGGTGGAGAATATGTGCAATTACTTCCCTAAGTAATCTCAGGGAAAATTACTTTATGGCTACTCTTCTTAATTCATCCATAGAAAGTTTAATAACTTCACATATCATATAATAAGTCAGGTCTTTACAAACACAAAAC